AGCATTGGATAATTTATGATACCATGATGCATGTGATGATCCGGGCGAAGTAAGGCACCCGGCCGGTAATTATCAGGAATACAGTACTTGGATTTTTACTTTTATTTTCTATTCATAGATGTCCTTAAGCTATTAAAAACGAAATAAAATTTTGCATTGAAAACTTCCTTGTTCTCGGGGAGAAAAAAAGCCTATGCGGTGCGAGCAGCAAACGATAAGTCCGGAGAACCATCACGAAGATAAATGACGCGGAAGCGCCGGTAGCTTTTAGTATTCCGCAGTCGCCTTCAACAGTGCATTAGCATTCCCCGGTCAAGTATCATTATCGCACGTACACGTGTCGGCGACACACTGTTCATCCTGTTCTTTCAGCGACGTGTCAGGATTTACGGATTTTCGCCTGCAACCCGATCCCGAGCCAAGGAGCTGGCTCAAAACGTAAATCTCTGTCACCGGTGTTGTTACTTCATAATCACGCCCCGAAAAACTCCTTGCTGGGCGCATAATATGTGAGGCGAGATTTGCGATCATGTCTCCAACAACGAGCAGGGTTTTCTTCTGAATCTTGGATTTTCCGTGAAAAATTTTTTTTCAAGTACTCATTCGTCTTGTGCTTTAAATTAATTTTCACATATATTTTGTTACCAATGGCAGGGAATGAATGGGTGCATGCATACATGTCAGATGTCCAGTTGTATTTCATGTTGTATTGTATTTTATTTTATTTTTGTTATCAATTTGTGCTTTTCTGCTCTGAAGTGATTAAAATGTCATTGAGCGGATTTTGGTTGGGTGGGAAGGCGGTTTGGTTGGGGAAATCTTGATGGAACCTTGTAAATGCTGAAAAGCGGCAAATAGAGTGTATGCGAACTGGCCCAAAAAGTGCTTGTGCTGATTTCTCAGAAAATGTTTGAAAATTCTTCAACTACCACGGATATATGACAATAATCACACCAAATGTTTCTTTGAAAAGGTGGAAAATCCTCTGACATGGTCTAAATCTTTTTTAAATGGTACACTTTCAAATTAAATTCAGGTACACGTACGATGCACATTTTAAAAAATTGAATTCGTTGGTAAACATGCCCCGTGCGTCCTGTTCCAGTGAATAATTTTTCCACGAATCCTATTCTATTCGAATCTTACAATACCCAAAGACAAGACTTCAAAATATCCACCAGAATTCAGGCGTATTTACTTTTTCTAAGTGCAACCAACCGCTTGACAAACGGAAATGAAACCCGAGGCGCATATGGCTTCGAACGTCGAAGAGCAAGTCTCTTCCAGAATATTTAACAGCACGTAGGGAAACCCCTTTCTATGCCTGCAAATGTTTACTGCTGTAGTGTTGACGGAATAAAATGTCAGGCAATTATCTCGACAATCACACTGCTAACGGAGTCAAGAGAATAAAACCGAGCCCGTCATTTTCAAAAGGAAAACCGGGCAAACTTTGACGTTAGCGCTCGAACTAATTAAGTCTGCAAGACCTGAAGAGGATTCGCTCCCGTCTTCCGCATCATTCGTCGGACAAAAGATTCTCGTGGCATGTAAATCCAAAAACTCGTCGGAAAAAACGGATTACGTTCCTGAGCCTCAGGGCAGAGTGATGATGAAATATACTGAAAGACGAAAGAATCCCTTTGAATCTCTTCCTGTTGACAAGCTCGAGACAGCTGTCTTCTCTCGTCGTCGAGGATCAACGCGGCTTTATCATGTCTCGCTGGCTCGTCGACATGTGTTCTGACTTATGTGCGGAAACATCTCGCATTCGACCTGATCATTTCCCGACTGAATCTATCCATTTCACAATTGGTATTTCGGAAAGAGAAAAAGAAAGAAACGAAGCCGGTGGCGCCTTGCTTTTTGCGTCAAAACTTGAGAGATTGATCACTATATACGGAACAGGTCGTGCGCAAGGAACCGGGAGAAACGACGAAGAGAAGGCTGAAGTTCAGTTTATGCCTTCGTTCTGGTGTACGTGAAGAGGAGACAAATGAGAAAGCAAAGCTTGTGCGACGAGAGACCCTCGTGGCAGTGATTTAGAACTAATTCCGTTCATTACTCAGGACGAGACCCGAGACAGCTGCCACCGCAGTACGGGCAACGCAGTGGGCCACGTGTAAGTTCCTGCATTTTTTTGGGAGCCACAAGATGTAGAGAAAATGGTAGTGAAGACAATTTCACAATGAATCTTTGAAATGTACTCCAAGTTCAAGTTCACCCTTTCTTAAATATCGCTTTTTTTTGCCGAAGGAACATCCCAGCATCAAGACTAGACCAACACAATCAAGCAGCTCCCCGGTTTTCTTACTATTAATCTCGATTTATTTTGTTGCAATCTCAGTCCTACTTGATTGACTTGATGCATGAATTCTGAATGAATTAAACCATCGTTTTCTTAAAAGTTCATTCAAGAGGCTTTTGTGTAGATTTCTATACACTTGTGCTGCTGAAAAATTGTGAATTACGCGAGTTTTCTTTCGGGGTTGCATTTTTTGGCATTTAAAATGAGGTTAAATTGTTGGAACTAATGGAAATGGTTCTTGAGAAATTCTCGACGATTCTTACTGTTGTTTTCTGCCCATTGAAACGACTGAGGTATGCGTTATGATGACATTGCAGTACTGTATTTTTAAGCTTTGGAAGGCAGAACGAAATTTATTTTCGTGGACACTCGCAAACGGTTTTCATTATTCTTTCTTTATGAAAATTACGCAATTTATTTTCCGCTTGAGAAGCTTCTATTGAGGTCGTGGCAACTTCTGCAGCAGTTTTCGATTGCAAAATATATCTCTAATGATAATTATTAATCAATAATAATTAGTAGCTAACAATTAATTAAAAAAGCATAAAAATATAGGCAATTTTCAAGATTGTAGTTTTGCATCGTTCAGTCGAGAACAAAATGTACGTATACTCAAAGAATGATTCATCAGAATTTTTTCGTCGCTCTTGTGCCTTCATTCATGGGCAAACATTTTTTGCGTTTTTAGATGAAATAAAGCAAATTTAAAAACGACTCAACCCTGCGATTTCTTACTCTGATACCAAGTTCATTATAAAGATTTCCCTTTTTTATTTGCTCAAATGTGAAAGCATCGGAGCTTGACCCTGTTCCGGCCAACACGTAAAATATCCAGTTTAATCTCGGACAAATTTCTCCAACGGATAAAATGTGACTAGACTAAGGAGAAGCCCTTTTCGAGGACCAGAAGTAAAGCAGAACGAAAACAAGGCTGGCCATATTATAGCCACATGTGGTGTATCGGCAAGGGGACGAGATCTGGAACTCATTTACGACGAGTCCGGGTGTATCAGGCGCGAATGCTCGTGGTTACTTGATCTTCTTTCTACCTTTACACCAGCAGTCGCTGCCAGATTGTAAGAAAATCTTGTTTTACTAATCGTTTGAATGTCAGAAGTTGATTACTTGAATTTTTAATGACCGCCCACAGATTGACCCGTTTCCTGCGAATCGACCGGCATCTGATTTGATTACTGCTCAAGGGTGACAATCATTCCTCCGACAGAAGTCCTGACCTTTCATTAATCCTAACCTCTTCTTCAAAGCTGAGAGTGAAAGTCACATGAACCTTGAACTAAAAAATAAGTGTGAGAGAACTTTGATTCTTTCAAAGTCTGTTTTGTTCAATAAAATTTGAACAACATCCGCCGACTTTTGGATGATCTGCTCTCATGATAATCATATTTGAAGCGATCCGTTACATGATGAAATATGTATTCTTGTGCAATTCTTTGCGAAAACTGGATAATAGAGAAATGAAACCAGCAGAATGTAACCGAAATACGACCATGTATTTCAAAACCATGCAGGTCCGGCCTGAAGTAGTCAACAATTTTTTGTGGGATTTTTGTTTTTAAAGAGAAAACCTCTTCTACTTTTCAAAACTTTAGAACACGTACGCGCTTCTATAAGACCGATGTCTTTCCAGTTTTTTTCTCTTATACAAAAAGGCGAAAAAACATTGCAACAAACAACCACACTTTCAATCAGCAGCCCTCTTGAGCTCTTTCTTAACAATACAAATCGGCTGATATGCGCATCATTGTCTTTTTCGTAAGCAGGGAAAGGAAATAAACGCGTTTTCATTCGTAGTGGCAAACTTTTCGATTGCTGCTGGATTTTCTGTTCGCGATGCATCGCGAAAAACTGGAAATTCATCAGCATATCATTGTAAAGAAGGAAAGAACGCTTGAGAAAAAAGAAACTGGTATTATCACATCTCTATCTCACTTTTCCATTTTTCACCAATCTTCAGCGCCGACTTACAAAAATGTTTCTTCTTTTCTTTTCGTCTCTCGAATGCAGCAACAGTCCGAACTTTCTTTCCAATCATGAGTTGGTGGATAAACCACGGAACCCGATCGAGGTTCTCGCGTTTTTCATTCCATCTGGGTACTTTATTCGGTCCGCAGTTCCCTTGTATACGGAGTGAACCAAAAAACGGGAGACCGATTTTCCAGCAATAATATAACTTCCAAAAATCAAATTGTATCAAGAAGTCTTTCCGCTCAAATTTCGTCAGATTCTTTTTGAATATTAATCTTTATTATTGATTAAGCGGATTTGGTATAAACACAATCGCAATCAAAAAGACAATCCTTTAAAAAATCGTCGATTTCTAAACTTCCCTTTTAATATTTTCCGTAATTTTTAGAAATAAAATTTAAGGATGGAAGACATGTTCCGTAGTTCCTGAATATTCTCAACAGATACTCTTCCAGCTAAAAAAAAAAATCTATGAGAATTGAACAGAAAATGACCATGTGAGATTATTATCTCGCAGGATCTGAATCTCTGGAATCCAGAAATGATAGTGATATCAAAATTGAAAAGCTGTAAAAGCAATCATGTACAGTACCAAAATCTTCATAGATATATATTTTTTTAATCACTATACTTTGGTGGCTGCTGCATACAAATATGCCTCCGAGTCATTTCATGTGATAGGTCAAGGGAACCGAAATTTGCATTATCTAATTTAATTTTTCATGATGTTATAGCAGTTCTAATGATCCAGAAGATGTTTTTTTTTTTTTTTAACCGCTCCTGTTTTTTGGTTCACCTCGTAGTTTGGCAATGCCTGTCAATGAGCGGCGGAAGTTGGAGCTTGATATTCATAACAGGAGTAATATCATACTGGCAGTTTGATATTAGAGCCTGCATTTGAAATACCAGACAGGCACGGAAACTTTGCCGTGATTTTCCAGCAAGTTTCGTCTGCTCAGGGAAAACATTCCCCGAACCTACGAACGACAATCCCATCATATTTCAGAAGAACTTATAGCTGAAAGCTTATTTTGAACTACAGTACATGTACTTCTTCGCCTCCCAGCAAACGCGGAAATATTTGCATCGAGAGGAGATATTTTGAGAGGCCACCGGAAATACTCGAAAATGGTCCTCCTTTTTAAATTCAAAATAGTCCCCTTTTTTGAAAATCTATGAAATTCAGCAAGACTTGAGAAAAGAGAAAAGAAAAAACGTGAATATGTGAAGAGAGTCCTCGAAATGTTGAGGTGATGAAAAGGCTGAGATTTGTAAAAGTGAGGAATACTCTTTTTTTCATGAGAATTTGCATCACAGATATCATGAGATGAAGGTCAAGGATGCAAATTTGTTTGTTTTTTTTCATACCGAAGACCAAGAATCGATTGTACCAAGAAAAAAAGTCTTTACCCGGCAAGGAATATCAATTGTTTGACTCAACCAGGAACGAATCTATCCGCGAGAAACGAAGGCGGAGAAAGGAAGATGAGATCCGGAGCGGATTTCCGTCGTCGTCGTCGTCGTGGGTGTCGGTGATCAATGCTGTTTTCTCCCTCTCTTTTTCTCTCTGTCAACTGGCGCCCCTTAATCAGGTGAATGGAAATTCAGCTGCAAATTCTGGCGTCGGCGACGCACTCCCACGACGGCGGCACCATGAATATCTTGCCGTCGCCGCAGATGCACATCTGGTAGACCAGGGCACTGGTTCGCATGGAAGAAGCCGATGTCACGTTCACGATCGGCAGTTTTTGCAGCATGATGTTCCCGGAATTCAAGTGGATCTATATCGACCGTCGTAAAAAAAAAAAAAACGACAGATGCTCAAAACATCATCAGTGCTTGCATATTTATTAATATTTTTTTCTTGTTCTATACCCGCGCAAAAGTTCAAGAAACTCGTTCCGGGAGAAGTTTTTCTTTTTTCGCCAACAAGCACAGGAGTCGCGGTGAAAAAATGTAAATTTCCAACCAGCGGATTCGCGCGCGTGGAAGATTTCATCAAATCTGCACAAGAAATGTTTGTACGGGGAAAAAGCTCGTTGCTTACGCCAATTTTTCAAGAAAATGAAATTCAGTCACGGTGTTTCCTCATTTCATCAGCTTCAGTCATTTTTTCCAGCATATTTTTCATATGGAATCCTTATGGAGATGAAATGGGTTCATAGAGGTGTTTCGTACATGGTTGTATATGTTTAAGAGCAGAAAAATAAAACTTCAGCGAATTTACGCTGAAAAGCAACTTCGAGGAACGTCAAATCACATCAGGTTTTCCAACCGCATGACCGAGCCAATAAATATCTTATATTTAAGGCATATTAATGCATGCATATTAATTAAGTTTGAGAACTTCAAATGCATCGACAGCGTTTCAGTTCTGCATTTTTGCAATTATTTGAGCTCATTTCGCATTTACTCGGAGGATAATTGGACCCACGATGAGGGCCAAAATAACATATTTTGATAGTTTTTTAAAAGAGGACCCCGACTTTCTTAGGGTTTGAAATCAGCTAATTTTTCCAGAATAAGTAAAACCTCAAAGATAATCTAAAATTTAAAAAAATGCTGTCAATGCCACAAATATGCTCTTTTAACATGCCTGAACGAAATTCGGGAATGTACAGTTAATCAATACCTGGATAAATTATGAGGTCAAAATTACGAAGAGTTCTTCATCAGCAGTTACATAGTATGGTTTGTGGTTTTGAATTAAAGTCACTCCCTTCAAAGTTCGTTCCTTTGAATTCAGCTAATTGAAATAGATTTGATGATATCAGAAACCGCTGAAGAACAGGATGCTACATGTTTGACTTTTTCTTCCGAAAAGTTGCAGAAGGATCGCTTCCAAAGGTCCTGAAATTAGCATTTAACTCATTTTCCAGTGAATCTTTACGCAAAACGCGCATCTGAAAACACAGTCGATGCAATCAATTATTCAAACGCTAGTCTCATTCGCTCGGCCCCTTTCCCTCAAAGGCGAATTTCAGATTTCTCTGTGGAAATTATAAATCAAAAAGTAGTAAATATAACCCATTCTTTCTTCTTCAGATTCCCTGACCAGACAATAAACCAAATCAACCATTTGTTGCGTGATTTCTCACGTACTCACAGCGCCTTCTTTGGAGGTGAGTCTGAGTTCTGTGAGACACGTGGCAGCAATGTCCCCGGCACGGGACTCCAACGCGATTCCTTCCGCAGCTGTGACTTCCACGCTCCGTGTAGGTGACTCCAATCTGTTATTGGCACAAGAACGCGGGTTGCACTTACAATTAAAAAACCCCACTGCGTTATATGTGCTGGCCTCATTAACATCTCGCTACTACAAATTAGGCAGCGGGCATGAATTAAGACAAGTCCCTATATAGCTGATCTTATAAAAAACGTCACCATCTGCTCGACCCTTGGGCAGCGGAGACTTGTAATTGTTGCAATATTTCTTAGCTCAGGGGCTTAAAAAAAAGGAATGGATAATCCAACCGGATACATGCAGCCAGAGGGAACAAATATTTTTTCTTCCTCTGGAGCACAGGATAAATTATGAATAGAGTCTTCTTATCGTCGATACGCCACTGTATATGTTTGCTTCGTTCATAATTTCAAAATTTATTTATACTGGTGGACTCTAAAATTAACGATCTTGTCTACAACGTTTTTCTCTGTGAACCGAAGATATTTCACGTCCCTTATAGGATTCTCTCCCCATGTTATAACGAAATTCTCTCGATTATAACACATTTTTTTCTGGTCCAATGAATTTTGTTGTACATGGAGTCCACCTGTATTTTTGGGACAATCTCCGTTAATCCGAAATTATTTGCTGCACTGGTATGTGCTCAAATCCGCCTCATCAAATTTGGTAACAACGATCAGATTCATCAAGGATTACCTGATATTTCATTGTCCATTGAAATCAGAGGAAGTCTCAAAATCGAGTATAGACTAGTAAAGTTTATTTTTCAATTTTGTTGATAATCCATGCCGCTAGACGCATTTCTGATAACTCCGGAAGATGTACAATAGAATACGGTACAGTACAGTACTTACAAAAGTTCGTGTCTGGCCTCGGCTCTTACGAGCGGGGTTTGAATCGAGCCGTCAAAAACAGCACCTCCATCACCTGTTGGCACATCCAAAAAGATTCCTCAAATGTCATGTTTGCATGGACGGATGTCCGTGGGATATGGGTTCGCTACCAAAAGGTTCGCACGGTTTACGAGAACTGAATCTGAAAGCAGGAAGGAATCAACGGGTTTCAACATCGCTGAAGGTTCCCTTTGAAGTGAAGCAGCACAAATCAGGTGATCTTGTCGCGAAGAAGCGACCCCCTTGTAAAGCACTTCGTTTCCAAATAGACCGAACCCCTCGTTCGCCGCCACCATGTGGAATAAATTATGGGGCTTTCCATTTACTCCGACGAATGTTCACTGATTGGGGGGAATTCAGAGGGGAATGGCTCTTGAATTTCACCGATTTCCATAGTCCAGGTTCCCCTCCAGTGAATGCTACGCAGAAATGCTTTCTCTCTTATTCTTCGAATTCTCCACCATTTGATTCTCGATTCTCCGCCGTATTTCCCTAAACTTGAACTTCCAACTTTTTGAACGACACACGTTTGATGCTCCATTAAACATTCCAACTTCGAGTGATGAACATCGCCGGAAAGCTTGCGGAAACTGTCAAAATTATATTATTTAAATAAAGAATCAGGAAAAAAAATTTGAAATTCCTTTTTTTCTGAAAATACCTGCATAAAGCATTGATCCACTATGTTGAAACGAAGCAGGGCACAGCGTATTTTAATAATTGCCTTCTCATGAATAGTTTGAGTCATTACGGAAACCAGAAAGTTAAATAAGAGTGCATTTACACTTCCGAATGATGTCCAATTTTTTACCATTTAAATTGGGATTGCATAGGTATGATCTGCACATTCGGAAGAAAAAAGCAAACAGGAGGGAATACCTCGTTTTTCACTCTTGGGATTTTACAAAGAAGCCACCACAAATAAGTGAAAATATTTGCGTCCACAAATGGAAAATATGAAGCGCCGGAAGTTGAAAGTGGGCAAGCATAGCAGCATGTTGAATTTACGTTGAATTTCAATTTATTGCTGCTTTCCAGACGCTTTTGTCCTATTTATTCGAAGCTCCACTCAGCGTAACAGTTACTCGTATTCTTGGTATTTGACTGCGGCAGTGTGCTTTTACGTCGTATCTCTTAATTTAAATTTTAAAGCACAGTCATATGAACCCAGCAGCAGAGAACAACGTGAGACGTTGATGTCGAAGGTATTTTCAAAAAAGATTTACTGTATAGCACCGTAACTTGCCTGCCGTCTCGGTACCATTTGAAAGCTTAGAATGTGCTTTCGGGTGGAGAAAATGGCTCGAAATGTCGTACAAGTTTTAGTTTTTCGTTCAAAATGTTATATTTTTTGGAAAATTTAAAACTACGAAGATCTGTAGGAGGCGGGGGAATTCGAACGTTTGTAGCAGCTATAGGATACCTTAAACTTAAGACACGTTGGCTCGCGTAATTCTTCCTTTTTTGTTTCGAATTCTGGGACATGTGCCAACATTTTCGCACACCTCTGGAACGAAACATAGCCCAGACCATGAGCTTCTGCTTTTGCTCAACCTCGGCGTTCATTTACTTCAAGTCGACGGAGAAACAATAAACGAAATCGCTGTTGCCCTCATCGTCTGTGTGTATACGCGGGTTAATTTTAGCCCCCGCGTATTTTCATATCCGGTTCCCCCAAAATCTTCCGCGAACTCAAAGGTTTCTAGGACACGAAAACACCACTTGCAGAAGTCAAAACCTTGATCATATCGCTTCTGTGCGTACATTTAATGAGGAAGAAACCGCAAAAATGAATTTTAGCGATATCCGCGTCACCTGTGTTCGTTCGAGCACCAAGAATTGATCAGCAGACGGTACGAGAGCAATTTGTGACCCAGCCATGATTCGGAAACGGTGAAAATTCTTGGCAGATTACAGCTAGGAATAATTTTTCGAGAAATTTTGATCTCCAAATCCTGCTTCTCATTTTTCTTCGTTTACTCAATAAGGTTTCTGCAAAAAGAAAAAACACCTCGTAAAGTTGCCAACATTTCGATAACGTCGGTTTGATAGAATTGCCAACTAAGGTCGGAACAGGTTCATTTTTATCATTCAATTTTCGCAAAAATTCTTCAAGCACCTGAAATTTGACGGCAAAAACTTGAGAGCGCCAGACCTTTAACGGAAAGAAGTGGCTATATTTTTAGATTGTCTTTGAAGATATAGTGTCGTGAACTATATAAAATTACAGTACATTTGAATACAAAATTCTGGTTGATGTGAAATTGTAAAAACAAATCTTGAGAGACAATAAAAGTGACCTTTACGCATAATTTGATACTGATCAGCTCTGTTTTCTCGTGAAAAAGACTGAATTATTCAGGCATTTTACCTCCTACACTTGCAAGCATGTCGGTAATGTTTTCGTTAATTATTGATTTCTAATGCTCGTTGAAAACAAATTTCTAACGGTAAACTTAAATTTTGGCAAAGACACGCGGGGTTCTGAATATTTGGACGTACAATATTTCGTAAACTTGAGCCGAAATCCCGACGCGAAGTCCGAAAAATAAAAAAAAACCGCCGTTTTCAAAATAAGCATTTCGTTCCGGCCGCAATTCTCGGAAGGAGCAATCCCGAATTTTCTTTGCATGCCGATTTGATCAATCACGACAGCACGGGTCTCTTTGGGAACTGAATGCAAATATGAGTTCATGTGCGAGAGGACACGAGGATGAGGAGATGCAGTAGTGGCAGAGAGCAGCCAAGAACGGAAGACTCACCAGAGACCCGTAAAGTCGCAGCCCCGACGTGAACCTGGCGTTGGTCTGCCGAGAAAAGCTCCTTCCCCAGGGGACTCGTTATTTTGAATGTCGCCGCCTCGCATTCCAACTTCCCATCACCTGAGTTCGAGTAAATAACGCATAAAATGTCTCGAATGTTCGACAGCTTCCCCCCATTTTCCGAGCAGAAGTCGATTCTCTCCCATTCACAATTCGAGGGCCTATTGATGATGGTGGTCGAGTATATTCGAACTTTACGCTTCCTCTTCATTCCGGTTCCGCGTTGAAAAATTGAGACTTTCTCTTCCACACGAAAAAAAATTGAATGAATATTAACATCTTATGATGAAACTCCGATTTATGGGGACTTTGGTATTGAGATATTGTTGTCAATTGATTTATTTTTCTAAAAGCTTCAATTGAGCTTTCATTCAAATTATCTGACGAGATAATCAGGAAAACAAAACATCCGTCTTATTTTATCCAGTTTTCCAGGATTAAGAATGTCGGGCTCATCCTATTGATGAATCTTGTTTTCATTTTAACAGCACAAGAAAACTTCTTGAATTGAGAACCCGTTACTTTCTCGAGGTCTGAATCATTGTTCGTGAACTTTTTCTTCGCGAAAACCAAAGCAAAATTTTTTTTTTTAGAAGCGGACGATTGTGAAAAATAAATATTTCAGAACAGGCGGGTAATTCATTAGAAAAATTCAACGATGTGCAAGGTATGAGTAAATATGCGTTTTCCAGACTTTTTTGGGCAGGGCTTATATATAGACGGCGCATATTGTTCAAAAATAGTGCCAAAGAATATTCAACATGATCCAGCCGGCCTTATTCTCTGCATTTATTGAAAATATGGGAGTTATTTTGTACCGAGGAAAAGCTTGTTGGCGACTCGAGCATCGCTTTTTCTTGCGTGAATCGTGAGATTTCTTGCAGCTTCGAATGTGAGACTTCGTCCGGCTCTGCTGCGAATGTTGGAGGCAACCAGGCGATCCATAAGGTAAGCTTCTCCATCCAGGTAAACTCCGTTGCCGACGATTTTCAAACTGCCCATTCCTTCCTGGAAGCAGCAATAGAAACGAATCTTCAGGTAAAATGTCATTGGCGTATAACCATCTAATAAAATATGTGCTAAAATAGTTTCACTGAACGCACGCAGTTTATTTATGCGCGTTCAGGCAGTATCCAAATTTTCCGAAAAAATTCGGTGCCCCCTATTTTAGCATCGAGAGATTCCCTCATAAGCCAATCAACAGTCCGAATTATCTGAAACAGGGCGAACAAACTAAAGAAAAATAAAATATAACGCAGCCCTTCTGTGGGGATTAANTATCCAAATTTTCCGAAAAAATTCGGTGCCCCCTATTTTAGCATCGAGAGATTCCCTCATAAGCCAATCAACAGTCCGAATTATCTGAAACAGGGCGAACAAACTAAAGAAAAATAAAATATAACGCAGCCCTTCTGTGGGGATTAATCGTGGGTACCTGATTATTTCTTTTCAAAAAATTCAGGGAAGTCAGCATGGTCAATTTCGATCGAGGGAGATTGTGAAACAGCTTTGGCATTCAATTTTCTGAAGAAAATCAAGCATTCCTTTCCAATTACACATTGTTCGTTTTAGACTAGCTTTCATTCTTTCCAACACTTTTCTAGGGTGTAAACTAAGATCCCCCTGCCACACATGAATCGAGGAATTCAGAGAAAGTTTTAAATCGTCGAAATACAGATGAATTACGGTTCTCAACTAATAATTGTGCGCATTTTTTGAAGGATCATCGAACACCGCAGATAGTTCAGCCCTTGATAAAATTACTGTACTTCCATTAATTGAAAAATAATGTATCCGATGTAATCCCACAAATTTTCGAGTTTATCATATCCAAATTTTCCGAAAAAATTCGGTGCCCCCTATTTTAGCATCGAGAGATTCCCTCATAAGCCAATCAACAGTCCGAATTATCTGAAACAGGGCGAACAAACTAAAGAAAAATAAAATATAACGCTGCCCTTCTGTGGGGATTAATCGTGGGTACCTGATTATTTCTTTTCAAAAAATGCAGGAAAGTCAGCATGGTCAATTTCGATTGAGGGAGATTGTGAAACAGCTTTGAATTTCAATTTTCTGAAGAAAATCAAGCATTCCTTTCCAATTACACATTTTTCGTTTTAGACGAGCCTCCATTCTTTTTAAAACTTTTCTAGGGTGTAAACTAAGATCCCCCTGCCACACATGAATCGAGGAATTCAGAGAAAGTTTTAAATCGTCGAAATACAGATGAATTACGGTTCTCAACTAATAATTGTGCGCATTTTTTGAAGGATCATCGAACACCGCAGATAGTTCAGCCCTTGATAAAATTACTGTACTTCCATTAATTGAAAAATAATGTATCCGATGTAATCCCACAAATTTTCGAGTTTATCAACCGGAATAATGATTCATTCCGAAGGATATTAAGTTGCTCAAATTAAAATTAAATTATTAATTTATTTCTTTTCGAGGACACAACATCTATCATTTCAATGCACGGTTCATCATTACCCAGAAAATCCAAGTCGAACAACAATGGAGAAACTGGAAGATTTTTACAAGAGAACCTCCGAGGCCAGCTATAAAAAGAATGCAGATGAATGCTGCTTTCTGCACTCCTGATTCCCAACAGTGTCGACACGCATGACATCCGAGGTCAAGTCTACGCGAAATACGAGTATTTGCAATGTCAAAACAAAGATTTTCCCTTCTCGTCAGCACATATTTCCATCTCGTCATCGTCGTGTTGTCCGAACCTTAAGGAAAAACAAAATTCCCTGTCGTTGGAGGAAAAATCTGGAGGAAAGAGAGCATGCTGGGGCGTCGATGTGGATTTCGGAAGATATGAATTCAAGCTATGTCCCATTGGGACTCGCATGGCGTTTGATGACCACAGGGCAACATGGAAAAAAATGGTCTCCGCGGATTGAAACGGGGCTGACAACCCAATTTCAAGATGGAAATGACCGACGCCCATCCTGTCAACTCGTTTGACCACCAGCCGCGAAATCCGCATCAACAAAAGAAAACACACACATATACAAAGAAAAAGAATAAAAAATCCACACAGAGTTGAAACAAGGAGAGGGGGAAGAGAATCGGAAAAATAAAACTCAGTTGAAGGAAATAAACCCGTATACTTCAGTGAGGGCCAATTCTTCTCGATGATTGCCAATCTTTCACTGTGACGTTTGTGGCTTCTGTTGTTGTTACGGGAAAGATAAGGGACAAACAGCATGTCTTCGCAAAGCGATTCGACAATTCCCTTGTTCCCTTTCACTTTCATTGCGGGGAAGAAGATTCTTATTTTCCAACCCTGGAGATAAAATGCAATACAAAATTGACGAGAATTATTTTTAGGATGCTCGTCGGTGCATCTTGCCCATTCTGGTCAAATCCTATTACATAAGTCAGGTAGTCTAGAAAATAAGGACACATTGAATGAAGTCAACAGGCTTTCCAAAGCCAAGAAAGGGAGCCTGTTTGTATACCTGATCACCTATTGAAATTCCTGTAAGATTACTGTATTGTGCTTCGTGGTCCGGTTATATTTGTTCGACGGTGTTGTTCATCCTAATTTTTTTTTCTTTTCGCTGTGAACCAGAACGAAAGCCTCTTTTGGAGTCATTATAAAGCATATCAGTCTTTTTTGTAATCCTGTTTTCATTTTTACCCCATACTCCAATCTTCAGAGGAAACAGTTTCAGCTATTACTATCATAACTTTTTCGAGGTGAAAATGAGCGAGATGACAAAACTGTATCTTCACAACTCCAGGTTCCTCGAAAATTAAGTTTTAGAAATATAATGCATGTCAAAAAAGGAGATCAAGTGCTAAAAGCTTTTGAATACGCGGGAAAACCATATCCGTTGTGAAGAAAAACGCTTGTTCTAGCAACTGGACCGAATCATAAAACTTTTCTGACGATCAAAATAACTTTCCCAGTTCCAATGGAAATTTAGAAGACGTTTAGATGAAAAAAAGAGAAAACTTTTAGCAGGTGACAAAAAAGAGTCAGAGATTGTTCTCAAAGCAGTCTACGTACGTGGCACGATATGCCGAATCCAAACAATCGCAGAAATTTGATCAGAAACTACTTGATCAGCAATACGTCGGATGTTGAAGCAATGTGCTGCTGTTGATGAATAAATGAACGTAAATGCTGATCATATCCGTTTTACTAAGTTAAGAAGCAGTCTATAAGCGATTGACATGGAATGAAACCACCAATGAGCAGTACAAAGAAATATTTGACGAAGAAAAAAAAACCCATTAGCGGTTGACAAAAAGAAAAGTCGGAGCTGGTCCCCAGAGAAGCCGAATCGCTGACTTAGCCAGCGTTTGCCAAAGCAGGAGGAATTTTCGATTGGAACCCAGGCCCCTCTTTGGGCTTCATGTAGTACAGTAGTTTTTTTCCCTCTTCTATTTTTCTTTTTTTTTTTATATTGCTCCAGGGTGCGAGAGAGCCTCAGATGTGGTGTCTCTTTTAGCTGGCCATCCGCCTGAGGCCGGAAGCTGCTCCAGGGGTCCGCGGGTTTTTATGACCAGAGCCTCATTTCGTTCGTCCACTGGGCTGCAAACAGATACTGCGACTTGAAACCCCGCAGTGCAAAGCGATGAAAAAGCTGCTAGCGCGATATTGCGAAGCTTGAAAAAGCGCCATGGGAATAACTGTCGACTTGCTTCTTCCGCAATGAAGTCTTTTATTTCAGACTCGAAAGCAGAAACCTCATTGCGGCCCGCCGAGAGAATTCTTTGTCATTGCCTCGAGGTCACATTTGAAATCAAGCGACATTTCTCCTCAAGTTGGTGTCGGGTTTGCGAGAAGGAACGCAATTTCCGTCCAGTCGGAATGCCGTTTTATATAACCGTGAATGTTTGATCATCAATGCATTTGATTAACCCAACCATAAGTTTAATTTATTGAGAGGAAACAAAGCGACTATAGACTTCAATCTGGGCCAATTCCGTCCGTTGTGATGAATTTAGACTTCGTTCAACTTACTTTACGTTACGTATTCAGACGTTAGTAGCTTCTCATTTTCGACGGCAATATATATTTTAATACGCTACTCTACACAAAAATTGACTATATCCAGACCAAGTATTCAGTTTTTAGCTGCGTTGATTTGATTCGGACTAGATCTCTTCACTTTTACCCGTCGGAAAGACATTGAAAAATTTGAATTATCCCGCAAGGACTCAAACACGAGTATTTTGTTTCTTTGGATTAAAAATAAATAACCTGGCCCTTTGATTTTCGAGGATGAGAAAAGATAATGAAGCAAGCAAGCAATCATTGGACACTGTTCACGCAGGTACATTATTCAGCCGAATTGCGTAACAATAAAGAAGGCAGAATAAAAAAAATGCATTGGTTTCAACAGATTCAATTTAAAACAACTTGTATAACCGGAACTTGCTGAACGTTTGCATTAGGTGTTCAAGATAAAATAAGAATAAGTAATGTCCGGAAAAGTTTCCATCACTGGGAGTAGATGTCGATTTTCGGTTTCCCAAAAGATACAGTATTTTTGAGTGTGTGCGTGTGTGGGGATGTTCGTTCCCATGTGTGGCATAAGTCAAGATTATCTGTAAGCCGTTGAAACAACTGTGATGAACTGCGTCGTAATGGGAAATTACGAGACATTGCTCCGAATCGGTACTATCACGAGGCTTACAAAATCCTTCCTTTCCCATCAGAAGAAGAAGAAGAACCCCGCCGAATGGACGCGGACGGAGCAGGGGGTTCGGCAGTGCGTTACTGGGGCCCGGGAAAGTGTTATTAATTTCCAGAGGCCTGGTTTATGGTGGGAACGAGGGGAACTGACACCCGCCGGGGACCGGCCAAGGTGTGGCCCCTCGTACACTGTGGAAAGCGTCCCAGGTGACTCGCCAGGCGCCGGCTCCTTCCGCGTTCGGCCCTCGTCTCGGAGTGAGGCTCCAATTCCGGGCCCCGAGGGAAAACCCCAATCCCCTTTTGTATCTTGCAAAATATCTTATGAGAAAAGGGCTCGAGTGGAAGTTGATTCAACACATCAAATGCTCACCATTGAAATGAAAGAAGG